CACAGATTTAACTGAGTGGGGGTATTACTGTACCACAGATTTAACTGGGTGGGGATATTCTGTTATAGCAGCACCAAATGGTCCAAGGCAAACCCTTCCCTCTTTAGTGACGTAATTGAGAGGGGAAGCCTCGAGTGCATACTGATAAAACTTCTAGCTTGTTTGAGTTTTGTCTTTTTTAAAGTAACATGATAGAATAGATATACACCATGATAAAATTAATCTAGCTTCCTGAAGAAAAAAATTTACATAATGACATTTCAATTTTGGAAAACAAAACATTCTCTGGTCAACATCTAAAGTGAATGAATTTACTCTGAATTCAGCTATTTTCCTTTTTAAAGCAATAGAGAATAATGTGACTCTCAAAAGAAAGTGGTCTTGGTAGCTTGAAACTTGGAGGCATGCTACAAATTTCCAGCTGGTACAGCCTTCATGTAAAATGAGTCGGTTAAAGTGGGTGCTGGAGGGTTCAATGTTTATAATCCACACGTGTTTATGAAACATTTACAAAGATGCATGATATATATTCACACATATGCATATGCTCATGTTTAATAGTTACTGAATACAAGAGTAAACCACCATAGGCACATGGTGTAAAATTTAAGAAACTTTATGCCATGGCACAGCTCAGAACTTTTTGGCTTTGCAACTTTTATCCCAGCATTTAAGTGATACCTAAAATTTACTATCTAAACTATTTTTCAAAGCATTTTTAGTTAGTTTTTTCCAAGTTCACTGAGACAGGGTATTGCAATGTAGCCCTGTAGGCCTGGTAACTGTTATGCAGCCTAAGACAGCCTCAATCACGTGGCGATGCTCCCGCTTCATTGTCTCCGATGGTGGGATGATAGGCATGTATCCAACACCAGTTCCAATGTTAAATCCTTTACCACATTTTTGGTATCTCAAGGATTAAAGTCACTTACACAATCCCTAGCATTGTGCTATCTTTGAAAACTACAATTAATAATAACAGTCAAAATGGATATTTGAAGTTCTTAATTTGTACTTGAAATGTACTGCTCATATAACTTAATTTCATCCTTTGCTCTCTAAGCACAGTCAGGCATCATGTGCTCAAGGCATTTGGTCAAGGTGGTAAGTCTGGGAGGTGAAGACTACTGTGCACTGGTGCCTGGCTGTTGACGCTGTTTACAATAGCAGACTGCATGCTCCAGGGTGTGCTGTCCTTGCCAGTCCTCAGTGATTCTGCATGAGGAAGGCAGGCAGGGTGGGGCAGGCAGGATGAAGTCTGGTTTTTTTAAGTAGCAAGAACATAATCTTTTTGCTTTTACTAAATTTTGGGTTTATTATTTTCCTTCTCAGAAAAGTTGACATTTGGACAGGACATCACAGGTAAGTGTTATACAACCACGTCAGTAATGACAAAAGGTCTAATTCTCATGGGAGTAAGAAGAAAGGAAACATACCAAGATATCAGAACATAAATGACTTCAATTTTACACGACTAAATGCACCAATGTTGCACTGATGCATGAATGACGACAAGTAGACGGGCATTCGACAGACTGCAGGGAGGAGATAACAGCTTCAGCCAGTTTCCTCGGCCCACGGACGCATCTGGGACGCATGGGGACGCATCGGGGATGCATCGGGGACTCATTGGTGCTTATAATCAGGCTTATACAGCATTACCTTTGGATGGCTTTTCTTTTGGCTGGGAGATGACAAGTGTCACATCTTCAGGTGCGTTCTGCAGAATGTCCACTGCAGCATGGTGACTGACCCCTTCCAGACTCACACTGTTCACAGATATCAAACGGTCTCCTGGAAAACACACCACCCAGTGTACATCAACAACAAAGCAAAGCTCATATCAAACCTTAGAAGTTCAACCCTTTCTCATTATTATTATTATTGCTTTGTCTAAATTTTGTCCTCTGTGCAAATTCATCCATTAGAAAGCACATGGGAAATTATAAAATGTCAAGTACCAGGCTTTAAGCAGCCATTCATGTCAGCAGGTCCTCCAGGTGTAACTGCACTGATAAACACTCCTAGATCCAGTCTTCCCATTTTTTCCCCACCAATAATTTGAAATCCTGTAAAATAGCACATAAAAAATGATTTTAATGGTATTGCTTCTTTTAAGGACTTATGATTTGTCTGTGTGAAACAAACATACTTAGGTTACTATGGGAGACGGGGCCACCTGTTTAGTCTACAGGAAGTATTCTTAGCATCTGATGACCAGGGGTAGAGAATGGCAGACTGGAGTGGACAGTCAGCATCTTGGTGAGAGCTGATGTCCAGGAGACGGAGATAGGTAAGAGCAGAGGAGGGCAAGAAGTAGCACATCACAGAGGTCCATGCTTCTGCAAATGGCACAATGAAACCCATGGGTTTGTATACTAACCAGTAAGTAAATACACAACAAGAGAGTAAGGTGATGGCCAGCAGCCCTGGTGTCTGAATGCCAGCTGACTTGAGTGAGCGCAGGCTGAGTGATGGCCAGTGGCCCTGTGTCTGAGTGACACCTCCCTCTCTCCTGTGACTCTCATGGTGACTCACCTAAGCCATGCTTTGCATCTTTCCTCAGGTTCACCAGTGTGATCTCCCTTTCTGGTGAAGAAACAATGCTCCATCTTTTGCGTAGTGTATCTATTAAGAGTTTGCAGTAAAACAAACAAACAAAAAAACCCACTTAGGCATTTACATTACTGGCTTGTTGTAATTTTAAAAGTAGCATAAATATTAATAGACCACAGGGCACTGATCCTGTGAGCAACACTAACAGCTGGCCACCACTGTAGGGCACTGGACCTTCAGACGCAGGTTTTCTGATTTCATCTTTCTGTTGCATCATAGTAAATTGTTTCGATTTGACAATTATCACATTAAAACTTCCTCTCAGGGCCTGGGGGGGATGGAGAAATAATAAAAATCATGCATTGCTCTTGCAGAGAACCTGGGTTCAGTTCCTAGCACCCACGCGGCAGCTGTTGGAGGTACTGCATGCATGTGCTGTACTAACATACATGCAGGTAAAACACTCAGACTCATAAAAGAAAAACTTCCCTCCAGTATGTTTGACATATTGTTTATAAATTAGTAAAATATTATTTGTAAGTTCCTGAATAAAATAGTAATGAAATAAACTGGATTTAGTTTTTAAAACCCTACTACTTGTGTGGACTGTATATAAAATAACAACTTGTTTAGCACATCTGTATGTCAAAGACTTCCAAACACTGTCTGCAGGTGAACATAAACAGTTTAACTTTTCCAATCTCAGAGCTGGTATTCACCATCCAGAATCACGACTAAAAAATATTTAATTCAGGGAAATTAACTCAATTAGTTAAATGAATTTCAACATCTGAGCTACAATTTGCTTTTTCTAATTTCTCCTTGATTTTTTTTATCATTTCCAAAGATCTTAATTAAACCAGTAAACACTTAATTGCAACATTAATCAAGAAATTGCCACATTCAACAATTTGAACACATAGACAAACAGACACACACAGAAACACACAGACACACATAGGTATTTGCATACACAAATGAATTGTTAACGCTGACTGGTCTGTATAGGAAGGTGGTCATAGAGGTGAGTTTTAACACTCAGCTGTTTTTATAAATTAAAATTTCAAATTTAAGTCTATATTGTTCTTAAGCATGTTGATGTTTTTTGAAAAACAAAAGAAAGCCAAACAAATCCAAAACTAAAATCCAGACATTCTGGCTTCAGTAAAGCACAAGCCAGAGCTTCCTTAAACCTCACACACGTTCTTCTAATAACCAGGACCACTCCCAACACAGACGTTTATTTTGCTATATCTTTCAACATTTAAGACCATGCATGGATGTCAATTAGCATTAATATGCGAGTAATGGACTCACAGTATGTTTTGATGCCTCAGTAATAAAACGCATGTCTCAACGTCTAGAAATAAGCTCTTTTACCCTGAGGAAAGAATAGCCCCTTTATTTCCTTTCAGTAGTGAATTTAGCTTTGTGTGGTAAGGGCCATCTTAATACAAATTAGATGCTCTCTGTAGCTCACACACTCTTCTGGAACAAGAACTCATTGGTATTTGGTAACAGTAGTAGCAATGTGGTATGGCTAATGCCGTTTTGGTGAAATTACACCGTCTATAACAGACAGCACTAAGACAAGTGCACCATCTGTCTCAGGAGCTTCTACAGCATTACCTACATATTCTCACGCCTTCTTCCTGAAACAGGTAATGAGTTTTAGTTTTCATCTGGAATAAACATAAAACAATACAGAAGAGGACCCATAAAAAGTAAAGCAAACAAAAGTAAGGCCACGTTAATAACTGAAATTTAAAAAGTATTTAATTAAGGTGGTTAGGAAAACAACCAGATATAATCAAAGTGTACTGCAAAGCAATTAGATGGTAACAGTGGCTTTGAACTCTTCACCCCTTACCCAAGTTTCAAATTTAAACTCTTAGTGCGTAGAAATCTGGAGATTTAGAAACTGATGGAATAAGTCCAAATGCATGCACTTAGTAGAAAATCAGACTCCCCATCAGTAAGGACAGGATAAAATAAAAATTAGACCAGGTGGAAGTGTGGTTACTCTTCTATTGGTTGTAGCTTAAGAATAGAAAGGCATTTAAGCTGGCTGGGTTGGGAATGGAAACTCGGCTCACAGTTGTCAAGAAACGGTTCACCTGGTTCACAGTCTTTCTGCTCTCTTCAGTTTTATAAATGGTCTTGTAAGGTCTGTGAAAGGTCACAAAGGCTTCTTTCAAAGAATAAGAAGACTGGCTTCTTCATTTCTATTTCTAATAGGTTGTTAACAGGATTAAGTCTTTATAACATTCATCTGGTTAATAGTGTGAATGTGTATGTGTTTGTGAGCGTGTGAGTGCGTGTGTCACATTCTCCTTAATTAGAAGCCACAGGGCTTGCTCATTCAAAGGTTCCTGACTGTGACTTCAGTACTTACTCTTCTATTTGGTTATTCTACTGTCCTTCAGCTATCTACTGGGGAACTTTCCTGTTGGTATCATTAGGCGCTTTGGGGGAAAATAAAATGAGGCACTGGCTATGGCTACGTGAGCCACTAGGACAGCAAGTGTGATGGCACCAGACTGCTGCTGCTAATGTTAGAAAAATACCCGCGTTGATAATAAAAGGAAAAAAATAATGTCAATCAAATGTCTGCATTCCCAAAGCAAGTGTCCTGGGAAGTGCTGCAGCCTTGACAGTGGTGACAGCAGTGAGTGACAGCTTTTCCCTGGGTATTAAGGGGCTGACAGGGTAGGGTGCTCCAAATAACTGCTCTGTCCCAAATCAGAGGGTCACAGAAGGTGACCCTAGAGGTGAAAGATTGGGAACAGAGTAAGCTGGCCAGCAGGAGCTGAGAGAGTACTGATCAGACAAGGAGGCTGTGCCCCTTCCCCTTTCAGCCTCCGTGCTCCCTCGACTTTGGAGTCTGCAGTGACAGATCAGGACAGCTGCTGGGTGGGATCGCATGCAGGAGCCCATACTCAGCATACACACTAGCCGAGGCCTTTCCTCGGTTCTCGACACACAGGAGAGGCTCAAAATATTCATTTGCTTGTATTTGTTCTTAATCAGGAATAGTTCCTGAGGGAGCATCCATGCAAATGTCAAGTTACCTGCCTATGGTTCTATTCAAGGAGCAGAGGTGAGAATCTCTGTGAGGTCCATACTGTGAGTTATGAAGACATTTCTGAGGCTTTTTAACTACACCAAAACGAGTATAAATATCATGAGGACATACTCCAAGATCCTTAAAATAATTCTCTTTTCCTATTAATATGTACCACACTACAGCAAACTGTAACTACTTGGAAGTAAAAAAGAAATCTTAACTTGAAATGTCTAGTTCTTTACACAAAGTGAGCCTGTGTTATGCCCAGTCACATCTACATGAGGGAGTGTGATAGACTGTGCGTGAGGCCTCCTGACTAGGGCCTGCTTGTCTCTCAGGAGTTCCTGTGGATGCTGTGTGGTTTTCAGATAGCAAGCTTGGTAATAATGGATTCCACTACCTAGAAACAGCATTCTTTTCCTCTGAAAAGGCCAAAAGCTATCCTGGAGATGACATCTTCACGGAAACAGGGTAGTGTTTTAGTAAGTAAATAGTATTTCAACTACTTTTTAAGCAAGGCAAGTGTTTTCCTTGAATTACAGACTTCGCCTGATCCTCAGGCGTATGATGGGAAGATGGGTGAGAAGATGAGGCTCTGGGCGGAGACCTAGTTCACGGTCTTGGGGCTAAGGGCCAGCGTGCCGAGGCTCAGGGTGGAGACCTAGTTCATGGTCTTGGGGCTAAGGGGCCAGCGGCGCCGAGGCTCCGGCGCCGAGGCTCCGGGCGGAGACCTAGTTCACGGTCTTGGGGCTAGGGGCCAGCACGCCACACTAGTACGAAACCAGGTTCTTTCATTGTTATGCTACTTTTTGTTTGTTTTGAGCTAGGGTCTTACTATGTAGCCCTAGTTGGGCTGCAACTCCCTAGACTAGAGAGGACTCAAATCAGAGATCTGCCTGCCTCTGCCTCCCATGTCCTGGGATTCAAGGTGTACGCAACAACACCCAGCTGTTATACTACTTAATCTGCTATGATAAAGCCACTATGATAAAGAAATCTATTTTTAAATTTCTGTGTCAGAATAATACATATTAGTTAAGGCAGTTGAGACCACATACCATCTATTGGATGCAGAGTCCACAGCCTGGAAGGGTGTGGTGTGGATAAACGTTTATCCACACTGAGTGAAATGGTCCTGTGTCTCCTCAGTTTACTTCTTATGCATTTAGCAAGTTTTTCTGTCTGCTCAGATTTTTATGCTCACTTTGGACTTTTACTTTAAATATAACCTTCAGCTTTGCAGATATTCTAACTGGACCTAAAAGGAACACTAGTTATCGACATTACAATCATCCTTGATGTCAGGCTGAACATGGTATATTGCAGGATTTTATTTATTCTTAAACACTGTATTACTTAGTGTTGGCCATGATAATTACCATGAAATTAGATAAAGTTTATTTCAGGGTTTATGTTACTCTGGACCAAAGTTATTTCTTTTCTTTACTGTTGTTGGGTTTTTTATTTTTCTTTCCTTTTCTTTTTCTTTTCCTGAGACTGGGTGGTTTGGTTGTCTTGGAACTTGCTCTATAGATCAGGCTGGCCCCAAACTCATAGAGAGCTACCTGCCTCTGCCTCCCAAATGCTGGGATTAAGGGTGTGTACCACCACCAGCTGCAAAAATTTTAATTTTCTAAATAGAGTTTTAATCCCCTTTGGTTGGGCAGGTTCAGAAGGAATTAGAAAAAGAAAGACTGAGTGAGTCCCTCCAATAGCCAGGCAACTGGCTGGTGAGAAGAGCGTTCTAGAGATTTAGCGAGACAAAGTTCTTACAGTTCATGGATAGTTGGTAAAATTCACATTCTTGGCTATTAGAATTTAACTGAAAACGTGTGTGCTATCATCACAGAGCAATTACTTGCAACCCTTCCCAGAGCTCAGCCAGTTTACTAACAGCTCACAGTATTGTGTTGGAGCGGACCAGAGCTTGGTTGTTTAGACTCTGCCTGCTCTGCAGCCTTCTGTGGAGCTCGCTCATTGTTGATTTCTCATTTGTGAAAAGGACATAGCATCAGTGCCCAGCAGACAGGATACTGTGGGTCTACATGGGAGGTCAGCTGAAGTCTTAGGATAGAGGGAGGGCATAGCAAGCCCTTGGGGACTGTTGAAGCATATTATGACTACTGTGATGTGCTGAAGTGAAATTACGAGAGCTGCACAGATGCCAAAACTCAGTCCAGGTAAGAAGCCTGACCACAAGCATGCTGTGCCCTGATCCTGGTCCATGCACATGCGTATTTAGTTGAACTCTTAAGATAGCTTTTTTGAGGATTGCTAATGGGGAAGGAAAATACAAACAACCCTTGCCCCTTCTTCATTCCCCATGAGTACTGAAGACAGCATCTAAAGTTTCTGAAGCAAATATCTCCAACACACACTTTATTCTCTTGAGTAACTAGCATGTTGATTTCTATGGGAAAGTGAAATGTGTGAGCATGCCGGGGCTGCAAGTTTTAGCCAAAAAAGCACAATTCCATATGGTCCAGCCTCATTTCACAGCACAATTCTATATGGTCCAACCTCAATTCACAGAACAGTTCTTTATGGTCCAGACTTACCTCACAGCACAATTCTATATAGTTCAACTTCACAATTTCCTTTCTTGCCTTTGCTATCAGGAAAATTAGAACTAAATTTAGAGTCATCAAATTCAGCTATATCATTATTTATTATTTTGAATTACGTGCATGGGTGCCTATCTCTCTGTGGGTATTTGTATGAGAGGACAAGTGCCCAAGGAGCCCAGAAAAGGGCATCAGATCCCCTGGAGTTGGAGATCCAGGCCTTTGTGAGCCACCGTGTGGGTACTAGAGACCAAATCCAGGTCCTCTGCAAGAGCTAGCGCTCTAACCACTGGGCTGTCTCTCCAGCCAATGACATCAACTTTCACTGCAAACCTTCATTCTCATTTTTCATTAATTCAGCTTTTGGGATCTAAGGGTAAGAATTGGGACAAAGTAATGGATACTGATGGAACATTTTTTTCCTACTCATAAAGCTGTTAGAATGAGCAAATAAGATGTAAAAATTCTTTAAATTATAAAAAAATTGAGTACAAACTGAAGTCACTGGCCACACATGGTCTCCTCCTCCAGCTTTGATTCTTGGGGTCTAAGTTGAAAAGATTCATGTTTAAATTCTTCACTTCTAATACTCAGGATAAGACTGAAAACTGTTCCCAGTGTGTCCCCGACCTCACACTGCCCCATGAGTGTCTGCACCAACACTTTTGCTATTGGTTCTGCTTATGTCTCCATGTCTCTAATCAAACTGTGCCCTTGATCTGAAATGCTCATCGCTGCTGCTCTGAGAAAGTCCTCCTCTGTGAGGCCTTGGAATTTGAAAACAACAACAACAACAACAACAACAAGAATAAATTAGCTCAAGCATCCCCTCGAATTATCTCAAGACTTTCTCTCCCCAGACTACCATCTTAGTCTTTTCAGCAATGTCCTTCCCTAACCTCTCATTCATTTCCTTTATCAGCAGTATTGAAAACAGGTACCAGCACACTGAGGTGACAGGGAAGAACACCATGTCCCCTTTACTGTGACACAGGTCTAAATCCTTGGCATGCAACAGTCCCCACACTTAAGTTCAGATCATTACATATGGAACAAAAATAGAGAGAGGGTATGACGGAAATTAGGGAGAACAGCTTGTACACCTACCATTGTCTTTAAAGGGGACTTGGGATGAAGATTTTCCAGAACTAGGCAAACTCATTCCTGTGGTATAAATTAAATTATTAGACATTTTATAAAATGGCCAGAAACTATAGAAGTCATTTTTTTTTCTGAAAAAATTTACAAAAATCAATGAAACATTAAGGCAGCACTGTTTTCCTTGATTTGCATTGAGAGAAGTGTCTTATCTCCAGGGGCATACTTACTATTTTCAAATAGTAATTAATCATATTTACTTGTTTGGGCTCATAAATTTAAACTCGAATGTGCTGTTTCTGACAATGACAGATACAACAAATGTGAAACATTTATAATGAGATGAGTTTCAAAAACACTTGTCCAAATGTTAAAAGAAAATGTAATAATGAGAATGAATAAAATAAAAAATTAATTCAGAAAATTAAGTAGGTTTTATAGGTTCCCTTTATCTCTGAGTTTCTACTCTATTTTTTCTTGTTTGAGACAGGGTCTCATATAGCCTAGGCTAGCCTCAAACCCACTACATAGGTTGAGGCTAGCCTTAAACTCTTTACCCTCTGCCTCTACCTCACTGGTGCTGGGACTATATGTCATGTACTCCCACAGTAGGCTACCCAGGCTTTCTTAAGAACAGCCATAACTCTCTAGATGTATCACAGACCTTTCATGCAGACCAAAGCCTCCTGATGGGGTAGGCTTACAGTTCATGAGATCTCATTATATGGACGCATAATGTGAAAATCATTTCCTGAAATGCTGAGGGTCTCTCTTACTCTAACTTTTGACATTAGGTTACCCTACGGGATGAAATCACGCCTTATAACTGCTTCAGTCTTTCCCATTGATTCTATTTCCATTGACGATGTTCTAATCTCTGGAACATGTGAATGCCTCCATTCACAAAGCCATGCGGCATGCCACAAACACCTATTAGCTACCGTGGAAGCTTCTCCTGTGACCTCCTTTATTTTATGTGTCTCCAATCCAATTACAGAATGAAAAGTAAGATTTAACTTCAGATAATTAGAGCTCAACTTTGCATCTAAGGAGAAAAATGAGTAGAATCTGATGACATTTTAGGAGGGGTCCTATTTCTCACTACCCCTTCAGCTGCTTACACTCCGAGCAGTAGTTTAGCTTTCTGTGCTTGAATATCTACGCTTCTTGACAGGGCTTCACTGGGATTTCCTTTTTAAGATACATGAGACAATGAACTGTACACTTTCATAGAAACAGCCTCTACACCTTTAAGGGGGTCAGGGTCTTGCTATCATGGTCTTGAATTCACAATCGTCTGATTTCAACCTCCTATGCTGTAGTTACATAAATACAACACCACACTGCTCTCAGAGTCACACAATTTCAAAATCTAAGATAATTAACAGGCCCCAAGAAACAAGTAGGTAAAATCTGGAAAAAAGTTAAGCCAATTAAAAATTGCCAACTATCAACCACAGGGGTTTGCATAAAGTTATCTAAGGTTTTGGAGGCCATTTACCTGCTACTAAACTAAGAGAAACCTAATTTACTCTTCAAGAAGCAAGCATAGCACTATCAGAGCCCATTCCCAGAGGCTCAGGGGAAGCAGCCAAGGGATAGCAGTGCTGTTTGTGAGGCCTGGGCGCGGCCTGGGCGAGGCCGGGGCGTTCTCTAGGATGCTTGTGGCCTCCCCATCCAAAAGCAAGTTAAGGAGTACTGACATGAAGCAGTCCCAAATTCACACAGGTTTTTACTTGAGGTATTTTAGGCATTCACAGTCTGAGTGAGTAGAAATCAGAATCCACAGCAACAGACTGGCAGTTAGCATGGCTCTGCTCGCTTTACTAGTGAGCTGTGGGAGAAAAGAGGAAAGCTTGGTAGTGCTGACCTACAACATATGCTTGGCCAGGGTCTTCAATGGATGAGTCTGATTCATGGCTCCTCCTTTCGGGGCTTCTATTTAAACTGGCAACAGACTTTGAACTATAGAGGGAAGAGGAAGGCAGGAGGGGGAGTGTCAATGCAAAAAGAATACGGTGAAAAGTAATAAAACGTCTAAACGAAAACAAATGACATGACAGAAGGGATTTAAAAAGATCTACTTTGGGTTAGTCAATCGTGCTCTTACTTATTAAGCTTTGGGAGTCCTGCCAGTGACTCTGTGTCAGATCTTGCCATCGGGTACAATGGTTTTCCCACCAGCTCCGCAAAGGCTTGTGGGACGGACTCCATGTTAATGACCTGTTTCCGGTGAGGACAGAGAGAGGCCTGACTGAGATCATGATACGATTTGCTCATCCCTCTAGGCTTTTCCTCCCAGGAAGCTTTGTCATTCTTCTCTTTTGAACTGTTTTGCAGTGGCTGGTAAAGCGACCACTCTGAGCAGGACAGCCTCTTCAGAATCTCAGCTTGAACCGACAGGGGTCGGACGGCGAGTTTGTTGAAGGTGCTGCTGGCCAGACTGCCCGTGCTGATTGTGCGGCCCATATTAAATCCTCTAACAGACTCTGCTTGCAGGTTCAGGCTCCTAAACGAAGCTCTCTCTACAAGGAAATAGGATTGCTTTACATGACGGAAATACCTTTATGAGAAGAGCTATTTTAATAGGTGAGACACAGCATGCAGGTTTTAAGCGTTAGCCCGTAGCTGCAGAGTTGGCAGCTGAGGGTTTTGGAAAGAGTTACAAGGTCCTGCTTTCCACTCATCTCTCCAGCCTCTGAGCTTTCGCCAGCCCAGCCTAAGCACTTACTACTTCACCTATGAACTCTTCCATCCTGAGATGTCTGTGACTTAAGCCGGAAAGCCCCAAATGCCTTATGGGTTTCCACGTGAATAGGAGACATTTAACACTCATAGTGTTTCTGCTAAAATACCAGCAAACTAAGAATGGGGAGAAGCAGGAGAAAACCAGATGTCTGGAAAAGCAGCTCTGCGGAGGAGAGCTTTGCCCAGAGAAGAAGTCCTTCATCGCTGTTATATTTTTAAAAGCTTACTACGGACTCAGAAGATGGTGTAGCCCTCTGTGAATACACCACAACTGTACAACATACAACCTGAATCTCAGCAACGCTGGGATAAGCTTTTAGGATGAATTCTCTCATTATTTCACCATTATGCCAACCCCACCTTCCTGCCTCCACCACCTTCCAAGTGGACAGAGGTGGTCAAAGAGCCCCAGTCTTCCCACCTTTTCATATCTATAAACACGGAATTGTCTGTATTTAAATTTTGTTTACTACTCAATGAAGACCAAAAGCCTGCTTTTAGGAGTTAAGCTTAGAAAACTTTTAGGTCAAGCCCTTGGTTCTTCTCCATCATTATAGCAGTATCTGACATTTGAAGCTCTTAGCAAAACCACTGTATCCCATGCAGAGGACTGTGCAACAGAGCTCTGGGTGACTTTGCTGCTTGTGAGTTAGGCTAATAGGACTACACATGGCTCTCCGGGTCCCACTGTAACTGCAGGATAGGGGTGCTCTCTGTTGGTAGTGAGGTGTCATAGCATGTCAGACAGATGACTCATCTACTACTGCATACAAGATTAATAGTATTTAATTGTAGGTAGACAACAGGTAGAAAGGCATTGCGATTTTAACGTTTCTGCATCAAAATGAGCCTTGAGTTAGCAAGCCCCATTATCACCAGGGGCAGTGGTTCTTGTCTGTGAACAATGCACAATTCAAGATCTTCATTCATACCACAGAATTCCCAATCATCTTAAATTTAGTATGTGGGGTTTTTATTAGAGCAGTTAACATGCTTTGTATTTTCTTTAACTGTCAGAAGACTCTTTAAGAAGAAGACAAACAATTTAAAGATGGCAAACACCAAAAATGGCAGCAATAATGGTGAGCAATTCAGTCAGGGTTTGTCTCCTAAGCAGGGCAAGGATGGTCTCTTTCAAATGCTCACAGCAACCTGCCTCAGACACAGGATATGAGTGTAACCATTGATGATCTCATCCATCCCACCGCCTTCTACCGGAACATATGTCAACATGGACCAACAGCTCAAGACTGTAGGAGCGGAGTCTAACACCAGTGCTGTGCTGCAGACTGAAGTTTGCAGTCTTGCTAGTTGCACATAAAGCCTGCAACTTGTACCTTCTAAACTGCTTCTGCCTCTGCTCTGTCCCTCGGCAATCCGTACTTCCCTCATGTTGTTGACGTTCCCATAGGCTATTCTGAGAGTAGACGAAATTCATCGTTATTCCTTAGTACTTGCTACCCAATAGTAAGTGCTCAATAAATGATTTGTTTCTTCATTCTGTGAAAATCAGCCATATGTGAACTCTTGGAATCGGAGTAGCGCTGCTAGCACGAGAGACCACTGCACCCACACTGGACTCTGTTGTCTAATTAAGGGAGGGAGTGTCTACTCGGAACTCATTTCCTTATAAATAAAACTGGAACATAACAGCTCTAGGCTTTTTAAAGAATTAACATTTTCCAACATTAATAGGTGACACACAGGTGTCAGTCCACCAACCTCCTGTGGGTTATGCTGGTAATTTTTACTTGTTTTGTTCAGGTAGGTAGGTAAGTATATGGCTCTTTCTACTAAAACTCAAATTGGGGGCATAATGCCTTTGGAGGCTTTTTTTTTTTTTAAATAAAATATGGGAAAGTATACAAACAATGCCATCCTGAAGTGCTTTTTCCGTGAGTTCAGGGATACCTAGCTATCTGAAACCTGAATTGAGTTTGTGAAATGTGAAGAGTCCTCTCTTTTATAGAGAAAGAAAATGAGACTCTCACAATTCATTTTCTTTCCTAAAGCCATTCGTACACAAGCATGCTCCTAGCGCATGGCATGTGGTGTACAGCATAGAAGCATACAGCACAGTGCCAGTGTAGCCCTACTGCTGCCACCACAATTACTACAGGCACTCATGATGCCATACTCTCAATTAGTAGAAGAGGGACTGATAAAACATGGGTGAGGATTGAACCCAGGACCTTACATATGCGACAAGTACATTGTCATTCAATATATGGCCAAGCCTGGTCTGCTGGGTACACTTGCAGTACTCTGTAAGTGTGGGTGTGACTTTGTAAGAACCCTGTGGTACATAGATCATCACTGTAACAGTAATTTAGGGACTGCAGGACTAAGACACAGAACTTTTGTAGCACAACCGAGGCTTCTGCGTCTCTAACAGTCTGGTTTAAACATCAGAAATTTTACTTGAGATGATAATCATGCATGACTACAGTCAGGCATTCCACTAATGTAAAGATCTAAAACCCCAACTCCTCTAACTGCTGAAACTCTGAGTGTTGGACAGACACTTCAAATGGAAGCTCAGCGCTGGACTTCCTTTGACAGGTCTTAGAACACATAAAGTAGCAAATAAAATTATCCGTAGGCTCACGCATGTAATGTAAAAACGAGACAGAGACAGATTCTCTTTATTGTGAGGTCCCATCTTTCACATACACCTCCTTAAGTGTCTGCAAATATTCTAAACTCTTGAAAACTAAAAAACCTGAAACATTGGGCTGGAGAGTTGGCTCAGTGGTTAAGAGCACTGACTGCTCTTCCAGAGGTCCTGAGTTCAATTCCCAGCAACCACATGGTGGCTCACAACCATCTGCAATGAGGTCTGAAGCCCTCTTCTGGTGTGTCTGAAGAGAGCATTGGTGTACTTATATACATAAAATAAATCTTTTAAAAAAATCTGAAACATTTTTGGTGCCCCTAAAAAATTTGGATCAGGGACACCCAACCTATACTTTCTGTAAAATGCTGAACAAGATTCAACTTGAGACTTCTCCCTTCTGATTCTCCCACTCCATCACATTGAAAAGGCACGATCTCTCATGGTACGGTTCTGGTTTATATTGAGGATTGATCCAAGTATGAATGCTGAGAGCTTTAATAGGTTTGTTACCTTGCTGTACTTTAAAAATAAATAGAAGAATGTACAATTTTAGCAAAGCAAGGTAGGAAAATAAAAGGTAGTATGCGAAAAGTCATGGCTATCATATTTTTAAAATTATATATGAGACAATTGGGTTAAAATGCAGATCCTGAGGACCCAACTTCTAAAGGCTGTGATTTTGCAGGTTCCCATATGTCCCTAGAATCTGTCCCTTAGGGGAACACATGGTCTCCACTTTGACCCTGAGAGGTGAGAAACAAGTACTCACAGTTGTCTTCCCCCAGGCCACTCGATAGGAAGCTTTTCTGTAAGACTTCATCATGAGAAAGTCCCAGAAAAGAATTCAGAAACATGGGTCACCCGTGGATGTTATTAAACTGTAACTCACATACTTCAGAGTGATCCACTTAAGTGTGTAAGGATTTACTAGAAAGAAGCAATTTCAAATCACTTTAATCTCAACATGTGGTTGTATATAATCAGCTTTAAATCTCAGCTCCCTCTGAGGGATTCCTGTCTAAAGCTGGGTTATTTTTGCAGCTGAAAATCCACTGTCCTGGTTGCCATGGTTACTTATCACAGCCTCCAGACAGGGATGATTCACTGCTGGGGTACCAACTTGCCCTGCCTGTACCCTGTCTGCCATGTTCCTTCCTACACTGATCTCCAAACTATTTAACATCTGTTCTTTGTATCCATGTCAACTGTCACCTCTCAGAGCTCAGATCTTCCTCTTAGGAGTCATGTGGATCCTACAGCCTACATGGTATCATCTGTTAAGATGGCTCCGAAGAGCACTAGCTGCCCTTCCATAGGACCCAGGTTTGATTCCAAGCACACAAGATGGCTCACAACCATCTGTAACTACAGTTCCAGAGGACCAGATTCTCTCTTCTGGCTTCTGTGGACCCTGCACACATGTGGTATATAGTATACAGTCAGGCAAAACACTCATGTATATGAAATGGGATAATTTAAAAACTCTCTGAATATTACCATTTAAACACCTTTGAAGAGTCCATGCTTCTCTGCAGTACTGTTTTCCAAGCAAACAGGATGCTGGCTTGACAACTTTATAGACTTAAGTTAGACAAAGGGATGCCCCGTGAATTTTCAACTTAAACACTTTCTGAGTTTCTTTTTAAAGTATGTGGTAAAAATCATGCATACATCCTGGCACGGCACCGTGCAGCAGACCACGCCCCCTTACCTATGTCTTGGGCATCCTGGTTGCTCTGTCGCGCCCTCATCTGCAGCTGGAACTTATGCTGGGAGGAGCACAGTTGTAGCAGGTACTGGCATGCCTTGCTGCTATCTGTCTGGAACGCATGCTTGATTCCGTCTGATGTGTTCTGTAACGTGATTTTCTTCTTCTGTAATGGTAACCAGAGGTATTTGTAATTAGGAAGTTTTCCTACAACTTTCTATATGACCAAATATTTTAACCTATAAATAATACAGAAATATTTATATTTCCACTTATTAGGGAAAGTGTCCTTTAACTGATATATATACATATGTGTGTGTGTGTGTGTGTGTGTGTGTGTGTGTGTGTGTGTGTGTATATATATATATATATATATATATATATATATATATATGTAAATGTAGGAACTATATTCTATAGCTAAACAAAAGTATTAACTGCCACTTTCAGCAATTGTAGCTTCAATCACACTATACTGCATTCATCATCAATGGAAACTTTAAAATACTGCCAGGGTGGGGGTGGGGGAGCTGGAGAGATGGGTCAGTAGTTTAAGCAATGGCTGCTTTTACAAAGGACCTGGCTGTTAGCACCTAGTACCTAGGTGTAATCCCAGATTAGGGAACCCAACACTCTCTTTTGGCCTCCATGGGCACTGCACACAGATGGCACAGACATATGTGTAGGCATAACACCTATACACATAAAATAAAAACAAATAAATCTTAAACTATTCAGGGTTACTATAAGGCAGTATTCGTGAATGTATACATTTTGAACATCTTCCTTCCAAATCAAAGTAAGTTTTAGAAATCATATATTTTGAGTTGATGGGAATGTTTACAAATATTAATAAAAATTATAAGAACTAAGCATTTAGTGAGTAAAGAACAGTTTAAAAATGAACAGTAATGCTAAGAGTCATGATTTAGCTAAGGAGAATCTGGGTGGTACAAAGACATGGCAGCACATTTGGGAAGTCAAGGAAAATGTAGGTAGTTGGGCAGGGCCAGTACATTCCTGCATTCACAGGTACATGAGAGGAGGAGGAGGAGGAGGAGGAGGAGGAGGAGGAGGAGGAGGAGGAGGAGGAGGCAAGAGAACCACCTGAACCTAGGAAGTCAGGACTAGTCTTGGCAGCATGAGCGCACGACCTCCCAAACAAGGGGGAGGGCATAACAAAAAGAAACTTAGGACTGAAGTGATACCAGATGATATAGCTTGAGGCATTAAATGCTTTAGTGTTCAGAGATGGCTATTTTTACCAAGTTCAAGAAAAGTATTAAAATAATAAACCAATTTCACTTGGTTGCTATTTCTTGAAAGATGATGTAACTTACAGAAGAGAGCCTCCTAGAACCTGTGGCCTGTGCAAAAGCATGCAGGTAGTCCCTATACCTTACAAAGAATGCATCCAACAAGCCAGGGACACAGCTAATAAGGAACATTTACTTAAATACAGTTAGATTCTATTCCACCTATTATGGACCTACTATGCAAATTCATCTCTATTACCTTTATTTCAAACATAGAAATAGGCACAGAAAAGTCAAATTTAATAAAAGCCCAAAATTATGAGATTACCTAGAACATTTGCGTTCATATAATATATAAAATTTTAAATAGACTTCTTATGTACATCTACATTAAAGATCTTTACACTTTTAACTAGAAACTAATAATAATACCATCAACAAAATGCAACAATAAAAATGACTGATAGAAAAAAAGAGAGGCATCATAATAGACGCCGTAACTTAGAGCAGCAGTCTTAAGTTCTAAGTAGACACTGTTGCTTCTGAATCTCCGGATGGAACCCGACTTCATTTTGTTAAAAATAAAGCGCAGCAAGTTTTAGAATAGGTTAAAATACAGTGACATTGAACCAGAATCTTGATTATGGGCACACCTAGTAACTGTTCAGCTGGCTGGCTATTTTCTTCCTTAACGAATGTACCCTTTAACTACTGCCACATAGTTCTTAGAGACACTGAAATCCACAGCTGTAAATCTAGTGATCAAAGCATTAACATGAAAGGTAGACTCTACTCAATCTTCAAAAAAGCTGCAGGATTGGGATATATACTAAACAGCTAAGGGTAGAACCTGCCAGTGGGGACTCAGAGGTCCAGAGTAATTACAGAAGGCGGCATTACAGACAATGTGCTATTTGAGACAGACTAGCAGAATGTTTGGTTCTGTTGGCTGATTGAATGGACAGGAAATACACCCGAGGGAGGGCTTGTGAGAGCTGAGAGGGCTGGAGGGTAATGGTTATCTAAATTTCCTTCACAAACCTGTTCTACTAAGTTCCCACTTGAAAAAACTAAATTAAGTCCAGGTAATTTCCTGGTTTCAACAGTTTGGTGAAGATGAATGTAGTGTGGGCTTTCCGGTCAATCTCAGTGGGAAACTCTAGATCTCATAGGAAGCAACCAATACCTAGGTCTAGAGCTGATTTTAAAGGTGCCTTATTCAGAATAAAGCATAATCTTTATATTCTTATGAATATAAGAACCTATGTCAGCCCAAATATCAGTAACCCTCAAACATCATTAGAACATAAATACTCAAACATATCTTTGTTCTTCTCTGATGTCTGCCAGATGACACTTCAATATTCAGATAAACCACATCTAAGACCAGAATATGCTTTTAGAGATAACTTTTTAAATCCATTTCCTCTCCCCCTCCAATGTCGCTTTTGTAATAGTATCACCGTAATGATATTATTATAAAGTTCAGTGGTCACGAGCCCTTGGGACTCACACGACAGGCCTATGAGAGATCCACTCTTGAGCTTGACAAGCTTATTAGAAGGGAGATAATGATCTAGCTTAAAAATATCAGGAAGATTTCTCTAGGTGAGAGATTATGGCTGTAGAATAAGTTTTCATCTAACAGAGAGTTCAACTCAATTGTCATTTAACTCAAGTTAATTGAGCATATAACCAGTTAGGAATACGTCCCTAGGCTTTGGGAAAAAAAAACAAAACAAAACTAAAAGCCAGAAACAAAATCTCAGTAAAATCACCTACAACTAAAAAGGAGAAAGAGTTTTACATAGGTTTACTATGGAAAGTCAGTAAATATGTTACAATTAAGATTGGTTACACCAGTTAACAAAATAACAAAAAGAGTTTAAAATAGACATACTGAAAAGGAAATCTTTTTTGTTTCCCTCCACGGGAAGCGAAGGACCAAGGCACGGACTCCATTGTGAACCTCAAACACAAGCACGCCTTTGGAATACACCCCCAGAAGGATTCCTGTCTGTGACTTCTTTTCAGGGTGCACCCGGTGAAAATGAACTCCATACTCTGGCAGTCTTTGGCAGACCTGTTGGAACATACAGAATGGTGCATGTGCGTAAACAGTGGTGCACAGGGAGGAGCTGGACGTGAGTCAGTGTACTCACTAACATGTGACATCCACATTCCAAAAAAGTATTCCCAGTACCCACTTTAAGTGACAAATGAAAACAAACCCAAGCCATAACAGAGGGCTAAAGAGAGGAAGGAGGCAAGTGTCTGACACTTAGAGAACTTGTAACAGTGGATGAGGCCGAGAGTGCTAAGCTGGGACATAAAAAACACTAAAAGAAGCAACAAGAAGTCACAGCAGTAACAAAAGAAGTCAGTTGCTGGTGACCAGCCGCCATCACAAGGTTTCCCAAGCGATGGGTGGCTGTCATTGATTGTGGGGCTAAAGTTGCTTGCTATTTGTAAATTTTTTCTCTTCCTTTCAGTCCATGCTATTCTAAGACCAAAAGCCACTGGCTTTTGATAATTAGCTCCTACTGTCAGCAGCAGGGTATTAAGAAAGAAAGAAAGAGGGCCAGGCAGTGGTGACACACGCCATTAATCACAGCACTTGGGAGGCAGAAGCAGGTGGATTTCTGAGTTCGAGGCCAGCCTGATCTACTGTGTGAGTCCCAGGACAGCCAGGGCTATACAGAGAAAGCCTGTCTCGAAAAACCAAAAAAAAAAGAAAAAAAAGAAAGAAAGAAAGAAAGAAAGAAAGAAAGAAAGAAAGAAAGAAAGATGGAAGGAAGGAAAAAAAAAGGCTTGGGCTTGAGAGATGGTACAGCAGTTATGAGAACTAGAACCATGTCCAGAGGTCCTGAGTTCAATTCCCAGTTCAAACGCATCTGTAATGGGATCCAACGCCCTCTTCTGGTGTGTCTGAAGACAGCGACAGTGTACTCACATTCATAAAACAAATCTTAAAAAAGAAAAAAAGGAAGAGAAAGAAAAGGAAAGGGAAGTCTTAACGGTCTCTTTTCTCTCTGGCTCTAGGGTCCCTTACTGGGAACGTGAGAGGCTCAGAGTTCTCTGTGAACCAGAGAGAAAAGAAAAGAAAGAATAAAAGGAGGAAATGAGAGAAAACTCAGGCACTAAGAAAAAACATTCACTCATTCTGGATAAAGCAGAGAAAGAAAAGCTCCAACCACTTCACATACATATGTACACACATACTCACATAGCACACATTTGGTGGATGGAGCAAAGTTCCACAGGGTAAGCTCCAACAACCACAATTCTCTGTTCTCAGTATATATACTGTCTGTAAAATTACCTCATACAACTGTCAGGCAGAAATGTCAAAGTGGGATAATAAATTATATGGTTTTCTAAATACCTTTACATTCCAAGAATTTCATAGTAAGTTTAAGGCACTAATTTATGTCATAGATTGATAAGGTTTAACAAGTTACAGCAAAATTGTTTACATGTCTTTCCATTAAGACTAGTATCTGATTAAACATTCATTATTTGTTACTAGGCCCCCAAAAGTTCATTATAAGTTTAAAGCAAAATTTTTGTTTTGTTTTGTTTTGTTTTTCGAGACAGGGTTTCTCTGTGTAGCCCTGGCTGTCCTGGAACTCACTCTGTAGACCAGGCTGGCCTCAAACTCAGAAATCCGCCTGTCTCTGCCTCCCAAGTGCTGGGATTAAAGGCGTGCGCCACCACCGCCTGGCTTAAAGCAAAAATTCTTATGTCATAAGTTAGCATGGTTTTGTCAAGAGACAAATCATCTGCCTTGTGTGTTACTAATTTTGAAGTTTTGTATAGATAAACTAGTCAACACATTATTTTTTGTCCTTGTACCTATAATACATTGTCCATTCCCAGTTCATGATCTTTAGTGACAAGGTAATGGTCTCATACCTAACCTAGAAGGAATGTTTTCCTTCATCACAAATTTGTTCCAAGCCTGGTTTCTTTTTCTAATGCAATTAGCCTATGAGACACGAAGGGTTACAGAGCTCTTATTTGCAGGTTTTATTCTATAGAGGACTTGAAATAACTTGTATAAATTTAGGAACTCTATAAAATCATTATTAAGAATTTTGAAATGATCAACTTGTCTACGCAGCATTACTATATATGACAGTACACCATCATGTTGATCTGCAGAAAATCTACCAATAGGGTGGGCTTACGCCCAGGAATCATTAGACCAAGTAATAGTGACAGGAAAGGCATGTCAGCAGTGAGAAGCAGTCCTGAGATGATGTCTCTAAGGACTCTGCATTCTCAGAGCTTACCCAATGCAGGTCATGCAAACTGGTGGGCCATCTCCAGAAAATTCACTTGCATGTCTTTAGCTTTTCTTAAATGGCCTTTTGACAGTCAGTGACAGGATATAAGGGCAAACTCAGACTGAGAAGTAAGTATATATGTAAGGCATGCATCTGGCAAAGGAACTATATCCATAACATACATGTGCTTTATTAAGAGACAATCAGATGGTAATGAAATTGAAAAATGCTTAAGTATACAAATCAAAGAAGACGCTATATAAGTGGGAAATGAAACATGAGAAAATGGTCAATGAAAATAATAAAAAGACCAACTAAAATCATAATTCTGGGAATGGAGAAATGACTCAGCGGTTAGGATCACACTCTGTTCTAAAGAAGACTGAAGTTTAATTTCCAGCACCCATGTAGAGAGACTCACGGTGGCCTATAACTCTAGTTCCAGAGGCTCGGACATCTGTGGTTTCCATGGATATATTCACTCACGTGAATGCATACACACACACACACGTGTGTGTGCACATACACACACATGCATACATACAAGTAATATTAGAAATAAATAAATCTAAAACCATCTTTAAAGACCCTAATCCACATCACTTCTCACCCACCCTCAAGGTTAAGATAAAAAGGGCAGAAGAGAACACAGCTGTCTCTGAGGTAGACAGCAGGACCTGTGCTGCATGTGAGGAGGACACTGGAAAGCTGTAGCATCCTTATAAAAATGCACACTGCTCTTGAGCTCTTGCAAGTACTGAATACAATGGCTACGGAGAACTGAGTTCACAACCTGACCTTAAGTGTGCACTGAAAACAACCTGCTTTAGCTTTCCTATCATGAATCCCTTAAAGACAAAACTTCAAAGACGTTATGGCGCCTTTTCCTAGATAAAGACGTGTGGAATGAGAAACTCTACACTATGGATCAACAAGCAGAAGGTACACTCTTCCTGTGGCTGCTGGACCAGAAGAACATTCTCAAAGTTTCTTTATTAAAAGCTTACTTAGTCCTATCCTCCCTATCATAAATGCTCTTTATCTACCTGCAGACTAACAGGTAACCATAAGCCATGCTTTCTGACTTTTTGTATCTATTTGAGTTAATTATCATTCATACAAAGACCAATTTGCATGTGGGGAACAAGGGTAGGCAGTTTTAGAATGAATGTGAACTTGCCTCTCACACCTACTCAGTTATCAAATTCAACTTTTTCTTTTTATGATGAAGCTTGATTTTTCAGAGTTCAGAACAGGGTGAAGACACAGGATTCATAGTCAGGTAGGTGTGGGTTTTGCCCCTCACAGTGCTCCTGACCTTAAAGTATCATGTTTTCTTTGAGCCCCATTTTCTCTTAAACAGATGAGAATCAAACCACTATAGTTTCAGGCATGAAGCATGCAGCCAGAGGCTGCAGAGGGTCAGATACCACTCCCCAGCATCTACATGTGTCATCCTGAACCTGTGACATTGCTTATTACTGGTCACTCTGCATGCTCACCTTTAAGAACTCTAGCTCTGTCTCCTTCTCAGAAGCTCCTGCATAGGTGTTATGCAGTTTGGGTAACTCTTCTTTAATGTAGGATACATCAAGCTTCTCCATCACCCTGGCAGGCAGATAATGCTCCAGGCGAAAGTAGGACACACCATGAACCTAGGGGAAGAACGCTGTTGTCAACAGTTCCACCTGCCTATCACTGATGTCAAGCCTCTTCCTCCTGTCTTAAAGTTTTTGTTTCTGCCAAGAGAAGAATTGCTTTTACTTCTCTCTAGGGAATACATCCCTCTCTTCTTTAGTGAGGTAGAATAGCTGGACTTATTGGCAAGTCTCAAAAGAGGACACTGAGGACCTTATGTCATTATGGCTAAAGAGTAATGCAGTGATGAAGGATGCTGCTACGGGGGCAGGCTCCAGTCATCTGCTTCCTACTAGGTCTCTTTCATTTAAGAACATGGAGCTTTGAGCATGGTTCTTCATACCGTGACCTCTGCCTGGTTCACACCCTGCCACTGTGTGGATCTGTGTGGACGACAGGGTCCCTTCAGCCCATTCTTGGTCAATACGTCCTCTACTGAGTCTCTGCATTGCTCAGAACATGGGGGATGGAGGGACTGGAGCTACATAGCCCTAACCTCCAAAATAATACAATTTTAAATGGAAAAACCAGACTCCAAGTATGTGATAGGTCTATGTGTGCTGAGCCAGGGCACTTTGAGGAACCAAAGGAGTTTAAGATCATCGTAAGGTCAGCCATGATTTTGCGAAGAACAGGACAAAGGCTGATAATTTAACTCTGTGGGAAATGCTTGTCTGGCATGCCCTGGTTTTGATCGCCAGCAGGAAAGCAGAGCAAAACAAAATGAAACAAAACACAGATAGAAAAGAAAAAATTTACCAATACCTCCTTCATCTGGCACAGGAAGAGCAAGCCTACCTCTGGTTGATAGTCTCCATACTCTGCCTGGAGAGCCAAGGACGCGAGGAGCAGGGCTGCCTCATCATCACAGTGCACCCTCTCCTCCAGAAGGTCTTTTCTCAGCTGAAGGTAATACTGATGGCAGGTTAGGTTGTGTCTGTTAAAATACAGATGTACACAGATATTTTGACTTTTGAGGTGGAACCTTGGGAGGACTTTGATCATAGGGATGGTTTCTAACATACATGTTTCTAACTATGGTTGTCATTAAGCTGTTCTAGGGCACTCAAAGAAGTATGAGTTTGACTACTGCCTCGCTTGGCCATAACCAGGAAGTTTCTTCTTGCAGTAAATGGTAACTAACAAGGAGAGATACAGCAGAATACTGACCAGAAATGAGAGACTTTGGAGCATTTGGTCCTAAAAGGAATGTCTCCACCAAAGCCTGCCCTCGGGGTGCAGGGAGTTATATAGTAGAGAAGGTAAAAGACTGTGAGATGAATGACTCAGGAAAACAGCATTGTGCATACATGACACAGGACTGGTGCAGAGACTGGTAGCACAATAACCCCTGCTCAGGCTCAATCTTGATAGGTGGGCAACACAAACTCAATTCATTGGTAGTTTGTAAACCTTCTGTCTCATTTTGCTTTGGTTTGGGCTTTTTAAATTTTGTATATTTATCTTTCTTGTCTTATTGGTCATTTGCTTGTGTACTTTGCTTCCTGGTTTTGTGGGTCTCTGTGTATGTTTCTTTCTTTTTCTTGTTTATTTGCTATGTTATTCTAGAAGGCAGGGAGGTATAGGAGGAGCTAAGGTGGGAGGAGTAAAGAGAGGAAGAGGAGGAGTAAGGAGAGGAAGAGGAGAAGGAAGAGGAGGAGCTAGGAGAGATGGAGAATGAGAGAGGGGGACATGGTGGCAGATGTTCACTTGTCTGTAGCAGTCAAAGGTAGTTGGTATATCTAGGCTGAGTGTTGGGTTACACTTCTGATTGTATGGGCATCTTGTTATTGAGCATTACCAAACTTATAAAGCTGTTGATTAACATTTAAGCATTATAGTCTCATTTTCCTACTGGGCCCACATGGATGGCGGGATGGTCTGGGCAATGTCCAGCCTTGCGGAGACAGCATGGAAGACTGGCAGAGCCATCTCCCATACTGGCATCTCATGGGTGGCAGGGCTGGTGTTCCTGGCAGGCCATTTTTAGCTGTGGCATGAACATGGCCTCTGGCCACAGAACATGGTGGCTTAGCTAGGCAGAGCCGTTGCAGCTTAGATAGTCGGCTTGACCAGTGGCCGATTTTAAATAATTACTTCAACAGGGAGGAGTTGAGTAAGTAGAGAGGATTTGGGGGAGGTAAGAGAGGAAAAATATGATCAGAATTTATTTATTTTTCAATAAAAGATATTAAAAAAATTGTTTAAGGGCAAAACTGACAGCACCCTTGTTTGCAGGCCATACAAACATTCCATGAGCTGTACAAATGCCTGAAGTATGAAAAGCACCAGATTTTGTACAATGCATTTTTGTAAGCGCACACTTGCTAGGTAAAGGCTAACTTACAGTTTAGGTGCAATAGAGGTTAAGCACTAATGACTCGGAACTCACAGTCTCACAGAGTGTCTGGCTTCCTTACTAAGTCAAGAGCTTTTACCTGCTCCCTTTACGGAAGCACCCTACAGCTCCCTGGCCTGCCAGAGCTTCCAGAAACCACTCCAAAAGTAGTAGCTTTGTGAACACGAGCACAGCAGTGTCACTGTACTGATGACATGAAGCAGTTAAGCAATTAATAGGCAGAAGGTGAATATGGCATGGTACCCGGGATGAAGGGACAGCTTGTGCCCTACGCAGAGTATAAAAAGGTGACAGATTTCATCAAAACACTCAGAACTCTATATAACTTAAGATGAATGAGAACTTTTTGTGGATGGAATTTTCCAGAGTAGTTTCTGATCATGGATGAAAACTAGTGACTGCAACGGTGGTGGCAAAATCATGGATAAAGGAAAATTGCTGCATTTCTTTTAAATGAAGAAGAAGAAATCATCCTGGATCCACATCAAGGGGTTTGGTGCCAGTAGGTTAGAGAGATCAGTAGAGCGGTCCCAGAAAGACCAAGAGAGAAACCCTTATGCACTCACTGTATCAGACTAACATCATCCATGAAAAATTTAATTCGGAAAAACAATGTAAAGTCAACGGCGGCTTTGCCCTTTCTCTTCGGCTCTTCCTTCCATCCCTCCGGGGCCACTTTGGTTAATTTTAAGTCATGATCAACAAAGAAATATTCATTCTCTGAAATAAAATGAGAAAGGCATTCAGAAAGCATGGACAGTTTTCCTTTGATGTCTTCATTTCTGTTGAATGTATTAAAAAAAAGAACAGGGTCCAACACAGCAGGGGCTGAGGCACTCCATATGGCTGGGTTCAGCCTTTTCAAAACCAGACAGAGACAGGCAGACCTGACCTGAGGAGATCCCAGTCACATCTTTACTGCCTGTGAGAATAAATTCCTCTTCCACCCCAGACATCAGTCAGGATAATGCTGGATTCTGCACTATAGGCTGTTATAAAAATCAAATGACAAAATGAAGGGCTCTGGAAGGCAGCCCTTAGAGCACAGTCTGCAGTGAGTATTAGCTGCCATGTACTAGTTGAGTGGCAAGTCTACGAAGCCTGGTTTGTACAGAATGTTTAGGAAACAAATAGAGATCTCTCTCAAAAATATCTTTTGGTAGACAACACCACCTGGCCAGTCCTGGGTGGGGGTGAGGGTGGGCTGAGGGTGGGGTGAGGGTGAGTAAGCCCTAGAGCTAGGTCCTAGCTCTTTCCACTCCTCTGGGTCTACTTTTATTTTAAACCAGGATTTTTTTTTAAAAGCACTAATTGCACAATTAATGGGTGACTCTATAGGATGATTTATTCATTTTAAGGCATAAGCATTACAAAAAAAAATCTCCATAGATACAGAAGGAGCCTCACAAACACAATGAATGAAACCAGGGACAGGCCGGGCGGTGGTGGCGCACGCCTTTAATCCCAGCACTTGGGAGGCAGAGGCAGGCGGATCTCTGAGTTCGAGAGTTCGAGGCTAGCCTGGTCTACAGAGTGAGTTCCAGGACAGCCAGGGCTCCACAGAGAAACCCTGTCTCGAAAAAACCAAAAAACCAAAAAAAAAAAAAAAAAAAAAAAAAGAAACCAGGGACAGTCCCTAAGTCCCTTCTGTTTCTCAGTGCCTACCGACCTGCCTATTTAACTACTGTACCCCTGAATGACGCCTGGCTTGGTAAGAGGTACAGGACACCATCTTGATGACATGTTTTTCCACTGCTAACTCTGAATCAAAACATCAAGAGATACCTTTAAGGGTGGCAAGAGCAAACAAATGATGCTCCACCAAGCCGATGTGGGCCACGACCATGTCAAAGACATCTTTGCAGATGGTCTTGGTGTCACAGGTGAGCTCAAGTCTCTGCCCGCTCAGAAGCTGTATGTTCACTTTCCTTCGCTGGTCCTCATTCTTCCCCTTCTTGGTCTGCAACTTAAAAAAAAAGAAAAATGACGGTATTTATCAAAAGAAGCACTCAACCACTTAGTCTTGCTTTAGAGAATCATTGGACACATTTCCTGAGAGGGACAGAAGCTGGAGTTACTACTCACAAGGATAGATCGTGGCAAGTCCAAAGATACAAATGGCTCGATTGTCATCTTCACAAACTCGGGGCCAAAGAAATTCTACAAGTCATAATAAGCAGAATAAATTATTTTTACTGTTTATCCTAGGTCATTCTTTAAAAGGCAAGAGTGTAATAATAACACATCACACATCAAAATGAGGGGCTGCAAAACAAATGTAGGAACTTTCAGAAAAGGACACTAGGTTTTGCTTTGAACAGAAGTGGAACATGCTTTATGCAGAGGTTTTTGTGATGTGTGCACCTCTGTGTGTATACATACTCATGTGGGTGTCTGAAACTAAGACGTGGGGAAAAGGTCTGTGCCTGTGAGTGCCCTCCATGCTTGTATAAAATTATCACACTTGGAGCCCATACTGTATTGTATGACATCCCGCTTATCACCTCATTTTGATACAGGTTTGGATATAATAGTTAACTGACAAACTTTCATTAAATTACTTCCATTTAGTTTAGAATGCATTTCCTTATGTTTTACTGTCAGTCTAAAACTTTAGCATGGTACAGTGTCTAAGGAATGACTTCCACACAGAAAAGGTTAGAGTGGTGAAATGTCCACAGTACTCCTTGAGAAAGAAGCCCAAGTTCACTGTCATGTTCACAGTCTAGTACGTATAAAGAAGAATATGGCAAATGGAAAAGTCATCCCTGATCAAAATGTGAGATGCAGCGTTTTCCCTCCTGCCTTCAATACTGTGGTGAGAACCTGAGGCTTGGTGTTAGTCCCACATCTCCGAGAGACTTGACAGGGCTGGAGAAAGGGCTTGGCTGTCAGCATAGGCTGCTTCCTTAGGGGACTGCAGCTCAGTTTTCCTGTACCCATGTGGCAGCTCATAACCCTCTGAAGTTCCAGTTCTAGGGGACTCTGTGGTATTTTGTCCTCTACATGCATGTGTGCACAGACATATATGCATGGAAGGCACTGATACATGTAAGATAAAGCTACTGATGATGCTGATGGTGATAGAATTTTACAGAAAACGAGACTCAGTAAGTGTCAAGACTCTTTGAATGGCTGAGCAGAGATGTGGAATGTACTTAAAACACACTCCTCTTCTGAACTAACTGTGAACTCCATAG